CAAGTGGTAATATCACAAGTGACTTGCGCTTATACAGATTAGTTAGTTCTTATACTAAAACTTACAAACGTTAAAGTTGCATATATTTATAACAAACTAAGTTGCTTATACGCAAGTCGGGTTGATATCATAATGTTAATAAATAATTTTATAATGTTGTTACCTGGTTGTCTTTACTATTCCAAACCGACATACAACACTTTTGTTGATTGGGGGAAAACAATCGAGATAGCTTTTTTTGAATATAAAAAGGTTTTTACTCCTAATTATTTTCAAATTTTTAACGTTTATTGTTGTATTGTATAAAAAAGACAACGGGTGCGAGAAAATAAGACGCCCTATCGCTATGATGTCAGCAAACAAGAATCAAAAAATAACAACTCGATACGGAAAAATATTAATTAGAAAATCCAAATAGGCAGTTAGCCCAATCTGTCAAGAATTAAGGAATTTATTCTAAGTCGAGTGCCATTAATCCGTTATTGGTGCCGGGAACCAAAGCCCAAGCAAAAGCAGTTACTAACGCATCGCTTCCTGCCATGAAACAAAATTTGATTAATTGATTTGCCACATAATTATTGTATATTTTAGTGTAATGATTGTCGTTCCAGCTTGGCATAAGAGCATGACCATTAACAGAAACATCCAAATATTCTACTTGTATTGGATTTGCGTTGGCATCATATGTTGTCATTCCAAATGTTAGTACATTTGCACCGACGCGAAAACTCCTTTCGTTTGAGCATAAAATGCCGCGACGATCAGGGTCATTATTCCACTGTTCTCTACTTGATTTGGAAAGACACGCTGCGATTGGAGTCGAATCGGGGCGAATAAAATCAACACAAACTGATTCTTGCGGACATGGTTGTTCAATAGATGTATAAGAGCCTGGAAAATCTGTAGCCTCGCATATATGCAGAATAGTGGTCTCGGTTTTGCAATGAGCGCTTCTCCACACAGGGTAGTGAGGGTCCGTGCAGGTTTCTGCTTGGCGACGACTCAGAGACAGATTCTGTGTTTCATTTAGAGGTATTGCTGCGACTATGGTTGCGATTGCAAGTAAAAAAAAATTGTATTTCATACACAAATGAGAAAACATATTGTTGCTATTGTTTCTGGAGATGATGCAAAAAGAAAAGCGGAAGGTATATGAAATTGAATTGCTTGTAGTGTTTTTGTAGAGTGGGTCAGATGTCTTGGCTACGATAGTATTATCAGGAGTTGTCTATTTATAAACTTTACCAAGTTATGGTGTACAAATCTTTCCTTTATTCGTTTTATTATAAAATAAATATAGTTGATACAGATAGCCCTTTATCTAACTGATATAATTTAGCAGTCGCATAAAACAACAACAATAAAGGTTCTTCATTATTAATTAATTCAGAATAAACAACTCACCTAATACCAATACAAGTTGATCGCAAAATGCGCAATTTCCTGATCGACGTGTCATCAAGAATCAGTGATACATTGGGTGTAATTAATCAAATGGCGTATTTGATAGGCCAATATAAAAAAATTTTCTCGTGTCTCAAAAAAATATTATGAAACTCGGATCGATATTACATCCGAAATTTTGTATGAGATAAGCACATAATTGACTGGTAAAAAATGCATATCTCGAATCTGTCTAATTTATTAAGTAACTAAGTAGGGGTGTTTTTTTTGGGGGGGGCTTCGCCCCTTTTAATTAGGGTCAACTAACGCTAATCATAATTTTTTAAAAAGGAAATACGTGAGAGGGGTGCTGTCAATCTACAGGCATGATTATTTATATGCAACATATTGGAGTAAATAATGAAACCAATGTTGGAACGGTCACGTTGATAGTAATATGATTAGTCGAATTATGTAGGCGTAATAGATAATATTGCCCGGTCAGAAATTGAACACAAGGTTGAGTTATGGTATTATCTCATAGGTTATTATTATGAAAAACGCTTAATAGTACATAGTTGAGCACATGGTTCGGACCATAGTTCTTTATTATTTTAGTATAGTAAATGAGACGACGTCGACAAAAGGATTTGCATTGATTGATTTAATGACAATTTACTCTAGTACTAGCTATTCTACATGTAATGATTGCTTATTATGCAAGAGTTTTAGGAAAGAGATATTCATGGATATTATTTAGTTTTCTATTACGACGTATATGCAATACTGGACAGGTGTATACGAAACAACAAACGTGTTGAATACTTGCAGTATAGCGACTTTTATGATAGGAAATAGATCGACGCTGGTGGTTATGGAGCAGTTTATACTGCCAAGTATAAAAAGTATTCAGAAGTAGAGCGCATGTATGAGGAAACAGTTGTACTCAAATGATTTAAAGATTTTGATAAAATGCCGGAATTATTTATTGCCGAGGTAAGCAATGATTGGTAGTATTGATTAAAGTGATATTTAAGCTGACTCTATTTATTTATTTATTTAATAGTTCAGAAATCATGCCAAGTGTTCACGCTTGATATTTATGGAGTGACACAAGATCCAGAAACATGATTGTTATGCATATGCTAACTATCGCAGTCTTTTGTTCAAAATATTAACAAATTGACATGGATGGATAAACTAATCATTTGCATGGCATCTGCATATTATTCATGATGCGAAATTAGTGCATTGTGATCTTCATGACGGAAACATTGTTATGCAGGTCAATGCAGGTGGTAGTGAGGTAAATTCATTGATATGCAATCTTGGTCTCTCACAATCAGTGAATGCACGCGGGTCAGATTCAACCATTTGAGGCGTTTTGCCATTTATTGCACCGGAAGTCTTTAATACCTGCAAATTTACTCAGAAATCGGATGTGTATTCATTTGGTATCATTATGTATTTGATTGCTACTGGTGAACCACCATTTAGAGATTGGTCGTTTGACAAATGTTTGGCAATACGTGTTTGTGAGGGACTGCGATCGTCGATGCCTGATTCTGCGCCAGAGAAATACAAGAAGCTTGCCGAGCGGTGTTGTGGTGCTGATCCTGATAAGCGTCCTTTTCCAAAGACACTTCACGGCAAACTTATTGGAGATACAGTGTGTAACGAAAAAAAAACGCGTTCCGAAAATTGAACATATTTTGTAAAAAAAAACAAGGGTGGTGTTGTTATTGATGACAAACGCGTCTTTATGTTTGATTACTTCCCATGTTAGTAAACATATTCAAGTAATAATTATCGTAATTAGTCCCGTTGTTTTCCCCCTTGTCCTTTGCAACCATGGAGAGACTTGAAGTTCAACGACAAACAATTATCATTATTGGCTTAATGGCGTC